TTTGAAAACGTTTCCAATTGATAAATATCCTTCTCTCACACATATCCCTAACATATGCCCTGCTTTGTAGTAGGTATGGGATTTTTGTTCTTAAAGATTTTATTTATTTGAGAAAGAAAGAAGAAGAAGGAGGAGGAGGAGGGGAGAAGTGAGAGGGAGAAGCAGACTCCCCGCTGAGCATGGAGCTGGACATGGGGCAATCCCAGGACCCTGAGATCATAACTTGAGCCAAAGTTAGGGGCTTAACCAACCGAGCCACCCAGGTGCCCACGGTATGGAAATTTTGACGGTGGTTGGAGGTAGTACCTCACACAGAAAACAGAACAGAGGTGACAAAGAGAAGAGGTGGACAAAGTACAAGGCAAGTTCAGAGGAACAGTGAGTAATCAGAAAGCCCCGAGTTCAGAGTGATCGGCGATACATTTAGCTGGCACAGGACAGGCACTGATCAATCAGAATCAAGGCTGGCTGGGGGAGCAGAGCAGGGTTCTGCAGGCTCCCTGCTGGGCCAAACATCACCCCTTTCAAGAATGAATTGTGGAAAGCATGTGTTCTGGAGGAGAGCACGGAGCCCTGGCAGCAGTAGAGGGCTTTGGGAAGATGGCTCAAAAAAGTGGCAACTTATCTACTAACAGGAAAGTATTTTAATATTTTAGTAATAGTATAGCCATCAGAGTGCTTGCCTGCTGATATCAACCCAGACATGGGTGCTCTCCTAGCAGTACTCTATGCAGCTATAGAATGTTCCATGCCTTTTTCTGAATACGGACATCTCCTCTCAGACTTAATTCTACAGGGAGACCTCTAGAACCCATTTTCATAGGGACTAATAATATTCTGTAACATGGGAGGGGAAAAGCTGTAAAGAAGTTCCATAACGGGGCACCTGGGTGGCTCAGTGGGTTAAAGCCTCTGCCTTTGGCTCAGGTCATGATCCCAGGGTCCTGAGATCGAGCCCTGCATCGGGCTCTCTGCTCAGTGGGGAACCTGCTTCCACCTCTCTCTCTCTGCCTGCCTCTCTGCCTACTTGTGATCTCTGTCTGCCAAATAAATAGATAAAATCTTAAAAAAAAAAAAAGAAGAAGTTCCATAACACTCTGGCTAGGCACTTAGAGAAATGAATGTCTTTTACCGGAAGATAAGAAACGAGGAAGATTTCAGACATGTCCTGACTCATGAAGCTCTCATTTTCCACACTCAACTGTGTCAACACAGTCAGCTCTGGAGGCACAACAAAAACACTGAAACAGTTTTTGTAAACTGTCACTCTTGCCCAAGAAATAAGTCTTCACATTCCGTCTAAGGTGTTTTATTCTCACCACTCCTGAGACCTGAGGAGGTAGCAGGAAAAATGCTCATCTATATTTGTTATGGGGACTCCTGAGGAAGTTGAGTTCTGGGGATACCCTGGTTCCCAGGGTCATGAGTCCCTCTTTTGGTATAATCCTTAATTCTCCCTATCAAATGGGCAGGAGAATCAGGCTCAGGAACATAATTAGTCCATTGAAAATGAAATAATAGGAAAGAACATAATATATATACATATATGTATATATGTATATATATTAAAGACCCATTTATTTATTTTTAGAGAGACAGAGAGAGTGTGCGAGCAGGGGGAGAGGCAGAGGGAGAAGGAGAAGCAGACTCCCTGCTGGGTGCAGAGGCTGCCTCAGGGCTGGATCTTATGAATCTGAGATCATGACCTAAGCTTAAATCAAGAGTCAGAAGCCCAACCAACTGAGCCACCCAGGCACCCCAGAGCATAACATATTCTTAATATTAGGTGCAGAAAATGGGCTTTTACGTATTTGTTTTGGAAGAACATTTAACATGAGCCATGGCATCTAGTGATCTCATTTTACCTGGACACACTGTCCCCAAGGGCCATTTTCACTTACATGAGTCATGCCTGAAGGCCCTGGTGGATCAGGTGGTATGTTGAACCGATGACCTTGTCAGAGTCAAGATTGTAAAAGACAAAGTTAAACAGGCAAAGAAGACCTCATTCAGGACAATTGCAACAGAGGAGTGATGCTAAACTCAATTCCGCTGAAGCAAGGACCTGGAGGGATTTTCAGAGGTGGGGTGGGGGGAATTGTGAACTGCCCTTCTCAATTGGAACAAGGTGCCCACCAAAGCCAGGTGTCTTTCCTCCCACAGAGATTGGGAGACAGGGGTGCTATCTCATTTGATATTTTCATTTTGAAAAGAATGTCCCAAGGTCCCTAAGAAAGACAATCCTGAATTGAAAAAGCAGCACGAGACTAGGAGAAGAGATCTGCATAGATTTCAAAGGGTCAGAGAAAGAAGTTACCGTTGCAGTTTTCTAAAGTAAATACTCTAAGAAAAGGGAGGTCAGGGGCCTATCATCAGGAAGAAAACTGTCTAAACTTTGGTCAAGTTGAGGAGAATGTTAAAGGCAACTAGGCCATCCTCTAAGGCAATCCATAAGTGCTCCACAAAATTTGTTCCTGCTGCTTGAGAATAATCCTGGACCCAGTGATACATTAACTTAGAAATTCTGGGTCCCCATGTGGGTACCTTCTTGTGAATAGCCCACTGAAATAAGCTTATAAATGTTCCCTTTCAATGCCCTCACTCAAGAGTATTTTCACTGACTAATTCAATAAACATTTATGAAGTAGCTATTCTGTGCTGGGCATCATTTCCATAGAATAAGACAGAAACTTCTCTTCAAAGAGATCTCAGAACACTGGAGAAGGAAGATGAGTAAATGAAGTTGGAAAATTTAATGTGAAAGTTCCTCAAAAGTACAACAGTACCATGTGACCTAACATCTGCTTCTAGGTATTTACCCAAGAGAAATAAAAACCTATGTCCACTCAAAAACATGCACAAAATGTTCATAACAACCTTATTTATGATAGTCAAAAGGTAGAATCAACCCAAATGCCCATTAAGTGATGAATGGATAAATAAAATATGGCATATGTGTACAATAGAATATTATTCTGTAGCAGGGAGAAATGAAGTACTGACGTGGGCTACAACAGAAATGAACCTTGAATACAGTCACAATGCATCACAGATTGTATGATTCCAATTAGATGGAATGCCCAGAACAAGGATATCAGAGACAGAAAGTAGATTAGTGGTTGCCTAGGGCTTTGGGGGTTGAAAAAATTGGGGAGTGTCTGCTAATGGGTATGGGATGTCTTTTGGGGGTGATGAAAGTGTCCTAAAGTTGATTGTGGTGATGGTTTAACATATTCACAAAATTACTGTTGTGGGAAAATGAGAAGGTCACTGGATTTGCCATTAGAAGATCCCAGAAGTGTCAGATACTTGATTTGTCCAATGCATGTCCTTCGAACTTCCTCCTGTGTTCTCCACCTCACTTAATGGTCTTGCCATCCAATCACCCAGTTCCCCAAACCAGAAACACGGGACTCATCTGAATGCATACTTCCCAGCTTCATGCTGCCCCTAGCTAATCAGTTGAGCCCTACAGATTCTTTCTTCAGTCTTTTGAAATGCTCTGTCTTCTCCATTCCTGCTCCTCCTGCCTTTTGCTGACACCATCTCCCACCTGGATTAATGCAAAAGCCTTCCCTGAGTCCTAGTGCTTAATCCTTCCCACCCTCCACATCACTGGGATGATAGTGTTCCTAAAAAAAACCTTCCTGTCACTTGTCTGCTCAAAATCATTCAATGGTTCATGACTGTGTCATGATAGCAAAAACATATCCAATGCTCCATGTGCATCAAGCACCATTCTGACTTCAGATGTGTTACTTCCAATCCTCACATCGGTCTGTATGACAAAGGAGGGGAGTAGGCATGGAGAGGTAAGTGACTTGCCCGAGGCCATGCAGCTGGCCAAGGCTAGAGCTTTGGTTGAGTCCAGGGCGCCTGGCCAGGGTCTGAGCTTATAGTCTACACACCAGGCTACTTCACAAAGATGGAAACCAAACTCCTTCCTGTGACCTTGGTCCTATCTCCCACTCTCCATGTTCCTGGGTTCTGTTATTATTAAATGGCCTGCATTTCCTCAAAATGGCCTCATTTAGCTTTGCCATGCCAAGTATGACCAAGAAGTTAACTGATGAGACAACTGGGGCACATGACTCCCATGGGTTCCCCTCCTCTTCCTACGCCTTCAGGTAGGTGTGGGCTGTGCTCTAGGTCTAGTGATGGTTGCCATTAAGAAAACTCTAAGCAATGTTCAAAGTACAAGTCTTCAATGAGTAACAAAGAGTTGAGGATTGTTCATAATAAATGACAATGACAAGAACATATCTCCAAAGGGACTACACTCCGATGGCCCTACAGAGCTCTGATCCCATTGGTGTTCCCACTTCTAGGAACTCACTTCCTCCCCTACATGAGGTGTGCCTTTGTCTCCTTCTAGAGACACATGCTCAGCTGTGGGCTCTTCACACACTGTGCACTGTTTCCCCTCTGCAGTGAAAGGCAGACTGCCTCTTTTCCTCAGTCTTGAAAGGACACTGGGACCCCACCACAGAGGTCTGTGTTTTGCTTGACAGTGAACATCAGCTGGGGGATAGGTCACAGTGAGGGGCACTCTGGTTACTGTTGTAACAGCCTGTGTGTCTATGTGAGGGTTACCTGAGGGGGTCTTCTAGGCTTTCTGGTACTTCCTTGCCTGATATCTCAGTCAGTCTCCCACTGAGGCCCGCTCCCTTCCCCCAACAGGCTTCAGCCTGCAGGACTAGGGTCCCCACCTCCCCTGAAGCAGATGCCAGGATCTCTTTGAGTCTTTCAAATCGCGGACTCTCAGGCTGGGCATTCCAACAGCAACTCCTTGGGTGCGCAATCCTGGAAAGGCCACTCCAAAGCTGTCTCAGCTGGGGCCAGACAACGACAGGCTCTGCTTCTGTAAAGGTCTGCAGACGCCAAAAACACCTCCAGTGCTCCAGGAGGAGCAGCCAATGGAAGCCGCAGCTGAGACCCCTCCCATGTCCCCCCCCGCCCCCCCGACAAGGCGCATCCAGGTCTCCTGCTTCCCTCCCTCCTGGCATGCCTGGCACAGACGTGAGGAATCTGGTGGCTGGCTTCAGGGTCTGTAGAACCCTCTCTGTCCTGTGGTTCCCAAACAGAGCCTCAGCCCTTCCAAAAATGGCCTGGAGACAGCTCTTTCTGGCCTCCTGTCTCTCAGCTGCTGTGCTCCTGACCAGTGAGTATGGAGAGGACCGGTGTTAGGTGAGGCTGTTCAGCTGGTCCAGGTAGAAAGAGGGGGTGTTTGCTGTTAAGAGGGCTGTGCCTGGTGTGTATGTGTGAGAGTGTGTGTGTGTGTGTGTGTGTGTTGTAACACAACATAGAAAGAACAGCTTACTTGGTGGTTTCCTGGGGAGACTGCTCTGGGGCTGGGATGTGAGGGTTCCAGGGACCCACACTGGGGTCTGGCAAGTCACAGTGGTGGGGAAGGACTCTCCCAGCCCAGCTCTGGGTGAGGGCTCCCTTTGAGGTGCTGTGTCCCTCACCCTGTGCTCTCCCACAGTGCTGCAGGAGGGGACTGGTGCATCAGTAGTTACCTGGCAGATGGCAAGACAAGATGCCCAGGAAGGTGAGTGCAAGGGCTGCCCAGGGGTGCAAGGCAGGTAGGCCAGCCACTGCGGTGGCCCTGGCAAGCCTGGGTTGGTTGTGACCGGCCTCTCTTGGGTTTTAGATGTGGAACAGAAGATCTTCATGCAGGAATCAGATGCCTCCAATTTCCTCAAGAAGAGGGGCAAGCGGTCCCCCAAATCCCGAGACGAGGCCAACGGTAAGTTTGCTGGAGGTCTGCCTTCTGCTTGCCCCTCCCATTCCTTTCTCACAGTCAGCTGGGCTGTGGGAATACAAGGGGACCAAGGAGGGCCTCCACCTAGGCCATTGGGTATCCAAGTGATGGAGGCTCTGAATTAGGAATTCTACTTTTCCTCAGCTGCAGGTCATATCTTGGAGTACACTGACAGGGTCAGGAATGAAAACGGGCAGTGCTACATCAAAAGCACTTAATAGAGACTGAGATGCCTCCCAATTTCAGGAAGTTTCAAACGGAAGCAGAAATAGGTTCTAGTCAGGAGGGAACACAGTATCTAGGTGTGTGCTTTCTGGGGGTATCAGACAGCACCTCATGCGCAACAGCTACCAACAGCACTAGAGGTGGGGAGAGGGCGCCTGGGACTGGGAGCTGGGACTGTGGAGTTGGTGACAGCTTCCTCTCCTTGGCCCCAAGTTTCCTTATTTATAAGCCCCTGAAATTGTAGTATTCAGCCAGTAGTGGTTTTTGTTTTCATTTTTTATTTTGGTTTCCAATGCCTCTGGGAGGCTTTTGAGCTTGGAAGTGTGTCTCGTGTCTCCCTCTCAGTCTGAAGTAGGCCCTGGCATCCCCTGCCTGGCAGGGACCCTCATTTCCATGACCTGCCGACCCTTGAAGGCATCTGAGTTTTTTGCCCTTAAACTAGATTCTTCCAAGAACTCTGAGCTCTGTCTCTGAGTCTGTGGCTTGATTCATTACTTGCGCATGTGTCTGAATAAACTCTTTGTGTCCCTCAGCATGCTCAGCAAGGCTTACTTGCTCAGTAAAAATAACAGGACTGTTTTCAAATGATGAAAATGTGTGGAGATGAAATTCCTTTCCCCCAGCCCCCAACCAACTGGATAAGTACGAATTACACTGGGAAAATCTCCAGGCCTCACCCAACTTGAGATTTAGAAGTTAGCAAACATCCAGAAACACAGGAAGGGCTATGATGAAGGCCGGAAAGTTCTTGATGGAAATCAGAGAAGCAGCCTCTTCTTGTAGGAGAGGCGAGTAGTTTCCATCCTCATAAGCTGATTCAGAACCACGAGGAGTGTGATGAAGCCAGAGGTCCCTCACCTCAAACAGAAGCTCTGTGTGTCAGTTGTGGGGGTTCAGGACAGCCTGGTGAGGAAGTTAGGATGCGCTTGAGTCCCATGCATGGACAGGAGAACAATGCTCAGTTATGTCTCAGGCTGGGTGAAAGGCAAGTGACAAAGATAGGCTGGAATCTGGAACCAGGAAACAGGCACCTGACATCTCTAAGCTTCAAGGTGAAGATGCAGGAGGTTCCTTTAGGATGACAGGATGAATTTCAGAATGAAACGCAGGACCTGAGAAGGGATGGATGTACACGATGCACGGTGTCTTTGTGGCATTTTGTCCAAAGACTTAAATTGTTCCTAGCCCTTGCTGAGTCAAGGGCCCCATTTGTCGTACCCCCAGAAAGGGAATTTGGGAAGACAGCTTCTTTTTTGAAGTCCATAGAAATGGAAGATGCTTCTTTAGGAATTGGTGATGGCTCATTAAGCACTTGCTTCCTACACTCCAAACCCCTTTCTCTCCCATCCCCATGGGGTTTCTGAGACCTGGAGCAACACTGGAGCTCAGGGTGGGTCATAAGGGGGATGATAAGGTGAAAGGTGTGTTCTGGGCCAAGTAGTGAGTGTGGGCTCTGGTTTGTCCCAAGCTATGCCTTGACCAACTGTGTGACTTTGATTAGGTCACTGAACCTCTCTGAGCCTCAATTCCCTCCTAAGAAATGTGTGGATATGGGACAAGGGGGGTAAGTGTGGGGGAAGGACTGGAGAACCAATTCCTTCTGCCAGACTCAAGAGTCCTACAACTATATTGGTAAAGACATAGTGTGGGGAAAGTGTGGGATTTATCTAAGAAATCTGCACTGAGACCAAGTCACAGGTAACTGGATTTTTTACTCTGAGTTAAATAAAATAATGTAATATAAATAACAGGTATTTAATTAATTCACTTGTTATTGTAGGCCCCTTAACTTTCAAACATTTCAGATGGTTCATGGTATTAATTATTGCACAAAGAAACGCTCCGTTGTTTGTCCTAGAACCACTGTAATATGGGGTGGGGCAGGAACCCAACGGCTTCCTCAGTTTCTCTGCTTTCATCATCACTGGTCTCCCGACTTCCTCCTGCACCGCTAAGCTGATGGGGACAACAGCGCCTAGGTCTCCCCTCTGATGTGATCATACCAGAGGAGTGTGAGGTATCATTGAGGGACAGTTCCTGCACCAGACATGGCCTTCCTGCTGTTGTGGATTTGTCCAGTTGAAGCCCAGTTAAAAGCAATTATTTTGATACTAAGAGAGTTTTCAATAATTTCCTTCAGACAACCAGAGCTCTCATACCAAAGAGGTCAAGATTTAAGGCTAGAAATAGAAGAACCTGGAAACTATTTTACACCAAAAGATCTCCCAATCTAGAAAGATTTTTTTTCAGGCTAAATTGAAGCAAGTGAGGATCAGCTGCACCTGCTGGTAAAGTGTGAGGTGGTGTTTGGGCTCGGTGGAGGGGCGGAGGGGATTCCCGCTGGGGCTCAAGGTGCTGCTGGGGGGCTTCACTGTTCCACTGCCAAGGAATGGTCACCATATTTATATGTTCTTGGTGACAGTTTTCAATTATCACTGGGGGTATTTCTTCTGACCACAGAGGTATATGCCCCAAAGTTACCATATCCGACTCTTGGTTTCAGCTCAAGGTCAGGGTCATGAGATCAAGACCATGGTCAGGGTCATGAGATCAATCCCCACGTCAGGCTCCATGCTCAGCATAGATTCTGCTTGAGATTCTCTTTCCCTTTCGTCCTTCTCCTCTCCCTATTCTCTCTCTCAAATAAATAAATTTTTTTTTTAAAGTTTATAGCCAACTTTACTAGAATGCATTGCTTTACAAAATAAGGAATACCAGAAGTCGGTATCTTCTACATCAGAAAGTTTACCTGATCATCTCATATTCTGCACCAATTCCCTATTGCTGTGTGCCAATGGACCCCAAATTTAGCAACTTAAAACCGTATTTACTGTCTCCTAAGTTGCTCAGCAGTCCAGATATGCCTTAGGTGGGGGTTTCAGGCTCAGCACCTATTCCAGGCTGTAGTCCTCTCAAGGCCCAACTGCAAGATCTGCCTTCAAACAAGCCTCAATGCCTTGCTGACTATCCATCAAGGCCACCAGTTTCTTGCCATGAGTGGGCCTCTCCGTACGACCGCTTACAGCATGGCAGTTGGCTTTGCTCAGAACGAGATGCCCAAGAAGAAAACCACATTCCATCATGTCTGCCAAGTTCTGTTCATTAGAAGAGAATCATTAAGGCCAGCCCACACAAAGGGAGGGAACAGCCTCAGGACACATGGATACCAAGGATCCTCTCAGATCTTCCTACCTCATTTTATCATCCCCAACATCACTGTACCCTGTATACATTTCTATCACAGCAGCCATTCTGCTGGGTATGACATTTTTGTATTTTTCTCCTTATCTGGATTATAGGCCTCTAAAATAGAGGGACAGAATCTTTCTTACTTGCCTTTTTAATCTGTTCCTGGCACACATTTTGGCTGTGACAGCTGCTCAAAGATGGACTTGAAGGTATTAACTTGAAATTAACTTTACTATTTTAAAATGATTTTATTTATTTTTTGGAGAGAGGGAGTGCATGAGAGAGAGAGAGAGAGAGAGAAAGAGAAAGAGAGAAAACATGGGCAGGGGAGGGGCAGAGGGAGAAGTGAGAGGGAGAAGCCCAATGGGAGCTTGGAGCCCAATGTGGGACTTGATCCCAGGACTCTCAGATCATGACTTGAGCCAAAGGCAGATGCTTGACTGACTGAACCACTCAGGCATCTCCAATGTGAAATAAACTTTAAGTTGATTATTCCTTCTAGAATTCACTTCTAATCATTGGATTTCTAGTTTCTAACTGACCCAGTATACTCAGACGCACCAATAGTTTTATGAGTGAAGCTAAACTGCTTTTCTCATTTGCAAAACGTGGTGCTTGGATGGGGTGAGTTCCTGGTTCCTTCAAGTTTTAAAGTCTATGCCAGGAGTAAACCATCTTCGCGAAGCCCGCCAAACCACCTCTCCCCACCGTGTTCAAGTTTCTCAGGCCAAATGATCAGTGTTCCTGTTCCCCTAAATGCGTGCCTCTGCCCCCATTCTTGGAGGCAAATCTTGCTTCTTGCCATTTCCCAGCAGAGAACAGGCAGAAGCTGTGGGCCGACGAGCTGCGGAGAGAATATTACGAGGAACGAAGGAACAAGTTTGAGAACTTCGTGGAGGAGCAAAATGATGGTAAGAGTTCTTCAGCCAGTGTCTTCGGGGAAGTGGGCCTTTGGGGAAAAATAAAAAGTTGCTTCCACTTTTCCCTAAATTTGAATTAGAAGAGGGAGGGGTAAGAGAGGCTCTTTCCTCAGTTCACATCTACTGGAATCTTGAAGGAAGAAAGTCACACAAATGGCTACAGAACTTGAGAAGGAACAGAAGAGGACACAACACCTAGATTTCCACTGGCTCTGGGAAGTTTTGGCTGATCATATCTTCTCCCACTTGGGGACTGAGGTGGTGGCCCGTGTTCCCTGTCTTAGTGCCTATGCTAGTGGGTTAGCCCTGGTTACAGGTGTGTTGGAAAGATTTCAAACTCACTTTCCACTCCCCTGGATTCTCAGCAACATAACAGCTCTAGGAACTACTCATTCTGGCTTCCATTCACCTATCCACTCTCATCAGTATCTTTTTTTTTTTTTTTTTTTTAAGATTTAACTTACTTATTTGGCAGAGAAAGAGCACAGGCAGGGGGAGCAGCAGGCTCCTCCCAAGCAGAGAGCCTGATGTGGGGCTTGATCCCAGGAGCCTGGGATTATGACCTGAGCCAAAGACAGACACTTACTAAGTGTCTAAGCCACCCAGGCACCCCTCTAATCAGTATCTTATCTGACCATTGTAACCAAACCAGGAAATCCGACCTCAGAAAGCAACTCACCCGCAGTGTTGGGCACGCTCTAAGTTTTATAGGCTTTGCGCAACTGCTCTTGTCTTTCCTAAGCCTTGGCTTTTTGTCAGCGTCTCTTGCCAGCAAACGACACATTTGATTCCCTGCCTCGGCCCTAGGGCAGATAAGGCTCCTGGCCCAGCTCAGGCAATGTTGATTTCACCAAGGCCTCCGAGGTGACAGCTGGATGTGGGCTTGGGCGGGGACAGAGGGAAGTGCTGTTTTTGAACCAGACTCCAGGGCATGGGATGGCACTTTGCATCAATTAAGTGTCCTCAAGTGTCACTCACACCAAAACCCCATAGAAATACTTATTAGGGCTGAGGCTAGCAGGCCAGAGTGTATGTTTATTTTGGTTTGGTCTTTCCCCCACACTTCCAGAAAGAAATGCTCCTGGGCAAGCTCCTGAATGTATATGAGCTTGGACAAAAGGCCCCAGTTTAGGTGACCTTTGCTACAGAAAGTCTGTGGTTTTCATTCTGATGTCATGAGCCTCCTGGCTTGTATGCTCTTGTTGATTTGGGAGGTAACATTATCTGAGGGCTTCTCTTGGGAACAGGATAAAATCACCTGGTACTCAGGGGCTGCAGGTCATGCCCACTGGCTCACGGGTGGCACCTGAGCCCTGCAAACAGGTGGTGGGCTTGGATCCCACCAAATCAAGCTTTCCTGGGAATATCCTGGTGGGTAGTGATAGGATGTTGTAACTCAGAGGCAAAATATTTCTGTTGGACAGTTGTTCACCTTGGTGGACAGTTTGGGGAGAAGCACTTAAAATATGAGTATGTGGCCTGAAAAATTCCTTCAGGGTTTTTTGTTTCGTTTTGTTAACTCACTGTATTAATAATAGGACTTTATTTTGAGCATTTGTAAATGTTTCTAGTCCCCATACCTAGCATCTGCTTGGAGAACACTCACTGTTTTCCCTTTCACAATGAATTAGGGTGAGGGGCCAGCACTCAAGGGATGACCAGTCCTCTACCAAAGCCAGAGAGATAGCAATCACGGGGCCTGAGGCCTTGCCCACAGAGATGAAGACCCCCGGCCAGGCCCCAGGCCTACAGTAGTTGTAACACTGGAGCTATTGTCACTGGTTGAGCACCGGCTCTGTCAGGCGCTGCTCTGAACCACCCAACTCTTATACCCAGCTTCTCGGATCTTAAAAATTTCTGTTTTTGTTTAAAAAACTCAGGCTTAGAAAGGGTGCCTGAATATCCAAGGTGCCATGGCTAGTCAGGGATTTGAACTGAGGTATGTTTGCCAGCCAAGAAGTGTTCTTACAAATGAAGGATGATTGGGTGCATGGAAGTCTCGGGGGACCTTCTTCCATCTGGGAATTAGTCCCTGCAGTGGGATGGAGTGAGGAGTGAGGTAAGGAGAGCATGCCCTCCCTGCCCCAGTGCCCCCACAGCTGGATAAAGAAAGGAGGCAGAGGTGGAGCAGGTCCAGCCTGCCAGAGGGTAAATGTTGATGTGAAACACATTTCAATTCTCCTCCTCTGCCCTCACCTCTGACCTCTCTGAGCGGCAACACCAACTGTGGTAGCTGGGTTGGTGAAACCTCTCCTCCAGGGCAGCACGTTCAGTCCTTCTCTGATGCCCCCACATACTCCTCAGTCAGGACCCTGTTTTTTGATTGGCTATTTTTCATCTGACCATGTCATCTATTCTCAGAATAAATGGCAGCAGCCGCAGGTTTGTCCCCACCCCTTAAAAACAAATGCGAAGGAATGACTGTGGATAAATGAAAGGCCTAGGATTTCTGAAGGCGTAAGTTTAGGCAGGTGACCTTCCTGAGAGCTTGAGAAGTCCATTTTGCAGGCCATCAGCCCATCTGGGACACCGGAGCTGTTCTGGGAAAGCTGTGGCCCCTGGCTATTTCTCTACTCAAAACCACCAGTTTGATGAGGCAAAGATGCCTTTATGCCTTTGAGTTCTGAGTCTGGAAGTGTCAGGATAAACAGTGTGTTGAGCTCCTACCCCTGAGGTCTGTGTGGGAGCCAAAGTCTGCTTCCACCTTCAAAGCCAGAAGCCTGGGTCAGCCCATCTGGGCTTGGCCACATGACACCTGGCTTGGCTAAACATGCTCAGCCACAGGTGGTCCCTTACACAAAAGCCACACTGTTTGGGCCTTTGCCAGGGAGAACTTCCCTTTGTCTAAGTGAAATGGTATATGAAGAAAGCGGCATGACCTAGAGAAATAAAATCAATTCCTATGCCAAAATCATGCTCTCAAGATTGGCAAAGAGTAGCCGATCTGTCTGGCCTGAGAAAGATCAGAAGACCCAAAGCTGCAGCTGGGGCCTGACTCTAAGCTCCAGGCTGTCCTGGGGTACTAAGTCCCAAAAGCAATTTCCAGCATCAAGGGTAGCGCCGACTCCAAGCTCACAGAGGAAGGAAACATACACAGCAGCCATGATGCCTGAATACCCAGCTGTAATAAGGGGTCCTTCTTGTCGAGGGCATCTGCTCTCAAGGGGGCTAAGGACCACATGGACACACATTTTCTCTGCATCCTGATGTCACCAGGCCTTCCTGTTCGCCCAGTGCTCCGGAGAATGACGTTCACTCTCACCAAAGTCAGGTTCACAGGGTTTTTGGTGGTGAAGCCCACATTTGAAAAAATAAAGTACAACTTTTGGGGTCTGAATCCTTGATACCATTTTTTTCTGTTAGAACTTCCTGTCCTCCCAACATTTTCCACAAAAACTTAAAAACTGTGGTAAAATTTACATAAAATCTGCCATCGTTACCACTTTTAAGTGGACAAGTCAGTGGCATTTGGCTCGTTCACACTGTTGTGCCACCAGCAAGACTATGGATTTCTAGAACCCTTGCATCACCTCAGAGATGAACTCTGTACCCATTACGCAACAGTTAACTCCCACAATCCCTGCTCAGCTCTAGTACATTTTGTTCTCTACCAATTTGTCTGTTCTAGGTATTTTATAGAAGTGGAATCACACGGTACATGTCTCTTTGTGTCTGGCATAGACACATAAATATTGAACGTGTTTCAAGTTTCACACACGCTGTAGCATGTTATTAGAATTTCATTCCTTTTTATGACTGAATAATACATATGTATGTCTGTGTATTTGTATAACTTTTTGTTTGTCCATTCATTTGTCCCTGTTTTCACTTCTCTTAGGTATATACATGGGAGTGGAATTGTTGGGTTATGTGGTAATGCTGTTTACCTTTTGAGGAGTCTTATGGTTGCCTTTTTACACACTGAGGGATTTGTGAAATCTGCTCGTGCTTTTATGGTCCCTAACAAAAACAAGCAGTGTGGACTTGGCATCAGGAGCCTAATCCTACAATTGAACAAAGTTGTTACCCAGAGACATGTCTGATTAAAGACAGCAAAATCAAGACTTTCTTACTAAAAACTCCCTTCTGTTCTTTTTACCCTTTTACTCGGAAAACTTTCAAACACATGGATAAGTACATAGTTCAGTGAACCCCCATATAACCACCACCCAGCATCAACGATTATCAAATTTCCCTCCACTTTGCTTCACCCACCCTCTTTCTGGATAGTTCTTAAAACATAATTTTATTTTTAAAGCCTGAGAAAAAATTACTCATCATGCCATCACTTGAAGTTGACAGTTATTTCCTTCCATGATGTCATTTTTTAACCATAAAGCCTGTTGTCTCTTTTTGTTACTGTTCTGTTCTCTTTGTACTTCTTTTCTTTGTTGTTGCCTCTCCCGCTTTGCGGGCTGTGTAAGGGAAAGAGCACAGGCGGGGACATAGGTCTTGATCTTGACTCTACTGCCTAACAGCTCTGTCTCCTGACTGGGCTTGGCACCCAAAGTGACCCAGCCTTTTGTCTGGTCTTTCAACTCAGACATTCTGTTCTGCACCATTTGCTCATGTCGCCACAGGGTAGGTAGTTTGGATAGATGGCTGCCAAGAGCTTGGTAGCTCTCCTCAGATCAGAGTCCTCTCCATGCTAACAGACCATTTTATCTCTGTTCCCCAGAACAAGAAGAGAGAAGCCGGGAAGCTATTGAGCAATGGCGCCAGTGGCATTATGATGGCTTGTACCCATCATATCTCTATAACCGCCACCACATCTGACCTCATCGTGACAGACCACGGTGGAGCCTGAAACTCACATACCCACCCCAGGTGTTTGAACAACACTTCCATGTGAACAGGCCCCTTCAAAGGGTCTCAACTTGGCGCCTGCTGTGGTAAACACACATGCCTTTTGCTCTGATGGATTAAGATACCCTCGCTTTTGCTTCTTTGCAGATGATTTTCAGAGGTGGGCTAACACCTGTGGGGCTTCCTAGCACCAAACCCACAGTGACTTCCCCTTACTTAGCCATTGTTCCCACGGTAAGACTCCTGTCCTGTAGAACAATGCAAAGGATCGCAGTAAAGAGAAAAGATGACGTTTGCTTACAGCTTAGAAATAAAAGTGCTGAGTCGTCGCTGTGTATCATCTTGTGAAATCTCAAACCGAGTCATGCCAACTTGTCTCCCTGAGCCTGAATGACCCATTACTCTCACTGACTTAGGGATTTGAAAGCCTGAACTCAAGGGATATTGCTCATGATTTTCTCAGCCTGTCTCAGCAAGTCACACAAGTGAAAGAGAAATGTTAACACAATTGTTTAGGTTAAGACCATTCTCCAGGACTGTTACTGAGCCCAGATGCTTCTTCACATCTCTGAGGAGTCTCAGGGTTCAACTGTGGTTTCTTAACGACATTGAATCAAAAGGGAGGGTTACAGCAAGGCCAGCTGTAACCAAAACTATAAAGCAGAAGAAATTTAGCTTTGGTATTACCTCATTTTTCCCTCCTAGTGCCTGTAGGCCTTAGCTTAAGGCTGCTATAGCATTGTGTAACAAGCTGGGTGGCTTGACACAATAAAAATGGATTCTCTTACAGTTCTGGAAGGTGGAAGTTCAAATTCAAGTTGTCGGCAGAGCCATGGGTGCTTCTTTCTAGGGGAGGATCCTGCCTTGCCTGCTGCACCTTCTGGTGGTTCCAGGACTCCCTGGCTGGTGGCAGCGTCACTCCGATCTCCACGTCTGTTGTTACAGGGCCTTTTCTGTCTTCACATCATCTTGCCTCTATGTGTATGTGTCTCTTCTCTTCTTGATATCACTTTTTTTTTTTTTTTAAGTCAACCCTATATTCAATGTGGGGCTTGAACTCACAAACTCAAGATCAAGAGTCATATGTTGTACCTTCTTTTAAGGACACCAGTCATATTGAATTAAGGAGGGAGGGGGACCCAACTCAGCTTCTAACAGTGTCCCTTTCTTCTCTCCCGACCACCCACTGCCTGCCCCAGACTCACCATCTATCTTACTTTATCTTTGCTTTCAATTACCCTCAGGAATTCCCTACTTAATGCAGAACAATCAAGAACAACTACAACAGGCACTTCTGTGGGGACACAGTGCATTAGAAGATAGAGGACTCTAGATGAACTACAAGTGCCCCCTCTTAGCCATCTCCCTGTCTCCACCCCAGGCCCTCTGTTTCCCCTGAGACCTGGGTCCCTGGCCTTCTGGTCCAGCCTGCTTCGGAGGTTGGGATCACAGAGCAGCATAGGTGGACTTTGCTTTAAGGAGAAGCTGCTCACTGTGGTAAAATACCCCACCAAAGGGGAACCTGGGTGGCTCAGTGGGCTAAAGCCTCTGCTTTCAGCTCAGGTCATGGTCTCAGGGTCCTGGGATCGAGCCCCATCATCTGGTTTTCTGCAGAGCGGGAAGCCTGCTTCCCTCTCTCTCTCTGCCTGCCTCTCTGCCTACTTGTGATCTCTGTCTGTCAAATAAATAAATAAAATCTTAAAAAAAAATACCCCACCAGATTTGGCACAATTAGAGCAGGCCATTTTATAATGAATGCATGTATTTTTAAGTAATCTTTTAAAAGGCTGATAAAATCTAGTGATGAAGCAATCATGCATATTCCAGATCACCTCATCTAGTCAGCACCATATTTTCTCACACAAACTTCAAGCAGGAGCTGAACCGGCCTTGGGAAGGTAAGTAGGGCATAGGGAAAACTCTATCATCAAACACTGTCACCTAGGCAGGTGGAATAGAGGAGCCGTTCTCTTCTCAGGAGTCCTGGGACTCATACTGTGCAGACTCAGGCTTGGGGTCCAAGTCCCAGCACAACAAAAGCCACAGTAGTGCCCATTTTCTCTGTGCTTGTGTTGATGATGAACTTGTGTTGAATTTGCCTTAAGCATGGAGACAGGTAGCGGAGCCTCCGGAATCCTCTGATTATGCTCAGAAGAGTGTACTCTGAAGTCATGTTACCAGTCTGCCCCTTTGCACTCTGTGAGTGTCTGAACTGGATCTAACTTGAATGGTTCCATAAGGAAACCAGGAGAGTAAAGAAAACTTTCCTCCGAATTGAAAAAACATGCACATGATACTTAACGGAGAAATGCTAGTTCACCACTTAAAATGTTCTTCACATGTTTACTCATCCTCACCCAATTTTTTTTTAACATTTCCCCTGTAAAATTATTTCATTTACAGTATGTGGTCAATGTAGCAAATTCAAACAACAGAGAATTCATTACACACCGGGTGTCTGGTTGCACCTGACTGGCTCAATCCATAGTGTGTGTAACTCTTGATCTTGGGGTTCTGAGTTCGAGTCCCACGTTGGGTGTAGAGATTACTTAAAAATAAAATCTTAAAAAGAAAAAAAAGGAAATCCATTACACATGAGAGTTCTTCCTTTTTGCTTCTTTAACTCTACTCTGAGGTAAGCCCCATTGGTGGTTTGGTATGTATTCTTCCACTTTTCCTGTCTATTTCTCACACGCATAATTCATCCTTTCTAAAGGCAAAATAACACTTAATTATGCAAATCTAGATGTCCCCACAATCAGTGCAGAAAGGAACTACTTAGCAGATCTGAGTTGGTCATAAGGAACTGGCTGGTACCAAAGCTGAGTTCTGGAAGCTCCCTCTTTCTAACAAGGTCTAGTAAGAGTATTTGCCTCAGCCAAGTAGCTCATTATTAAATTGTCACAGGCATGTTCTGTGGTTCTTTCCATAAGCAAGGAGAGCATGATGGAATTGAGTCCTTTTACTATAATCCTTTTCACGGTGGAGCTGGTGAGCTCTCCCAGCTTAAGCACACTTCTCTGTGAGGTAATGGGTGCTTAGGGAATTGTTTGTGTTCCTAAGTTTTCTCTAGTAAGCCCTATTTTGTATTTACATCATATGGCTAGTGTTTGTGTGTGTCTTTGTTCCCTGTGAATGTCAGTGACTATGCTAGACTTAACTTACCCATTCCTCTATTAGTAAAAGAGGTTTCTTGAAAAGAAATGATGGTTCATAACTTACACACGTTAAACTGGACAAATCAGATTTCTCTTTGAAGAAATTATATGTGCTTTCTGTCACTGGACACCTCTGCCGTTCCTTTCTTAAACAAGCAAATTGAGAATACTGGCAGAAAGGTCGGGAATGGGGAACTGTTTCGGGATACACTGTTCATGGTGTTTCCTCAGTCAGAAAATGTCACCTTCAGCTCTAGTCTCCAAATCACACCCCATCTGCAGGAGCCACACATTTCCACCAGCTACCCCACAGCCTTTCGGCCTGTTTTCAACAGAAAGGCTCTTTAGGAAATCTGCTTTTCTCCGCAGCCTTCACTGAAAGGACCCAACAGCTTTAAATGAGAACACGATCACACTGGAGGAAACTGGCATCAAGAAAAAAACTTTGCAGTTGCCTCAAAATTTCTTTACTATTTATTCATTACCTGATAATTATTTGAGAATGAATATTTCAAAGTTTCAGAACATAAATCTCAACAGAAAGGAATGGAGTTCTGCTGTTTGCTATCTCCCTTTTCTGATCTTAAGTGGAGAACTCAGTCAGCTTGGGCAGAACAAAGGTCAGAGGTATTTCTCTCTGGAATACTGGGCCGGAGATGCACACAGGGGCCCCAACCGCTTCTTACTGCACCCTTGACAGTGGCAGCAGAGGGAGCCCTAGCGAACTGGCCAGATATACCTCTGCCTCAGTCTTGCTCTTGTGGGTGGGTCTCCTCTCAGCACCTCATCTCACACCTAGAAGAGAAATTCCTACTGAGAGGCATGTAGGAGCAACACAATCCTGTACTTAGCTGGGTTACTAAGTGCAAGTAGACATGGCGAGCCAACCAGCTGCGGCTAGGAGTTGGGCACCAGCCGTGCAGCCTGGCTGACTGCTAGCTCTGAACCCGAGGCAGGACTGCAGGCTGCTGGCCCAGGGGGACAGGTGAGCTGGCACTTTACCCACACGAAGCTGCCCTCCTGCTTGGCCAGATCCAAGAGCCTTTCAGTTGGTAATCCTAATTTACAAGGGGGAATGAGAATGGTTACACACACAGCTGTGCAATAGGAAAAAAAAAAAAAAGCAAAGCGTTGCTCTCCACCTTAGCCATAAAAATGGAGGAACCACATTTTGGGTCATTTTGGTTATAACACACCCAAATGCCTTCTAGTAAGAGGGCCAGCAACCAGGTAGAGGGCTGCTGATGGAATCATACCCACAGCCACCCACACCTGCAGGAAGGGACGTTGAGGCCAGGCAGATGACAAGAATCAAGAATGGTTTGGCTGAGTAGCCAGTTTAAAACATAAAACAGCCTGTCCTTGCCTCTTTAATGGCTATGCATTGAATGACACACTGGACCAGATGGACCTCATAGATATATACAGAACATTCCACCCTAAAACAACAGAATACTCATTCTTCTCAAGTGCACATGGAACCTTCTCCAGAATAGACCACGTACTGGGTCACAAATCAGGACTCAACTGATACCAAAAGACTAAGATTATTCCCTACATATTCTCAGATCACAATGCTTTGAAACTGGAGCTCAATCACAAGGAAAAGTTCCGAAGGAACTCAAACACCTGGAAGTTAAAGGCCACCTTGCTTAAGAATGCTTGGATCAACCAGGAGATCAAAGAAGAACTGAAACAATTCATGGAAACCAATGAGAATGAAGACACTTCAGTCCAAAACCTATGGGATACAGCAAAGGCAGTCCTAAGGGGGAAATACATAGCCATCCAAGCCTCCCTCAAAAAAATTGAAAAATCCAGAATACACCAGCTGTCTCTACACCTTAAAGAACTGGAGAATCAACAACAAATCAAACATAAGAAGGGAAATCATCAAGATTAGAGCAGAGATCAATGAGGTAGAAACCAGAGATACAGTAGAACGTATCAATGAAATTAGAAGCTGGTTTTTTGAAAGAATCAATAAGATCGATAAACCATTGGCCACACTAATCCAAAAGAAAAGAGAGAAAGCCCAAATTAATAAAATTATGAATGAAAAGGGAGAGATCACAACTAACACCAAGGAAGTAGAAACAATCATCAGAAGTTATTATCAACAGTTATATGCCAATAAGCTAAGCAACCTAGATGAAATGGATGCATTCCTGGAAAACTATAAACTCCCAAAATTGAACCAGGAAGAAACTGACAACCTGAATAGACTGATATCTAGTAAAGAGATTGAAGCAGGGATCAAAAACCTCCCAAAAAACAAGAGCCCAGGACCTGACTTTCAAAGAAGAAATAACACCTATTCTCCTGAAGCTGTTTCAAAAAATTGAAGCAGAAGGAAAACTTCCAGACTCTTTCTATGAAGCCAGCATTACCCTGATCCCCAAACCAGACAAAGACCCTACCAGGAAGGATAACTTCAGACCAATATCACTGATGAATATGGATGCTAA